TTGCCCCCACTTCCTCAGGTTGGTGGCACAGTGGTTTCTTGGGGTGAGAGGTTCTATGCTGTCTGGACATTCAGTGTAGGTCTCCCTCCCCATGTCACCCTACACAATTGGTCTCCAGATTAAGAGGATTTCTACTGTAACAATAAAACTCTACTTTGACAAAAAACCTCTTGAGTGGGAACCTGCTGAAATTTATAATCCTTATGTGCTGAGGATGCTTTTAATCCTTGTGATCTGATTTTCAATGTCACATGTGAAAACCTGGAATGGGAAAAGACACTGGTTGACATTGACATTACAAATTTAATTATTCTGGGACTTGCTGTTGTTTCTCTTCTAAATCATAGAGCTGTCATTGCTCGGCTGGGTGTAGTAAATAGTGCTGTGGCTCTGCAGCTCATGCATGTCTGCTCTGACTCATAAATTGCAAAGGAAAAATTGAAATGAGTGAATATATTTAAATATTCATTCATTAGAGCTAACTTTAAAAATTAGAATTTTTCTGAATAATCACAGTTAGAGTATTAATGTATATCTATCATGATGGATGTGTTGATGAGGAGGCACTTAACTCTCATCAGAGATATTTTCCAACAATTATGCCTTGTATGCCCATCTTGTTTGGGCCCTTGCAGATGAAGTTGTTCTCCCTGCTCTGAGACAGAGTCTGCAGGGATGATGCTTACCTCAGCAAGGAGGGGTGGGAGGTGCTTTACCACTCCCCACAGGTGTAGGATGTGGGGCTGACAATATCTTTAAGGAGCTCCTATCTGGCAGAAAGCAGAAAACCCTCCTCTGCAGCAAGGGGGCTGCAAGAGCCTGGGGAAGAGAGAGCTCAGGGGCTTGGAACAACAGCCTTTCCAAACCTTGGTGCCTTGGGCAGTAAGCTGGTGTCTAAGACCTTGTAGGGTACAAAAGGAGCAAAACCTTTCATTGCATGAATATTCAAATTACTCTTTTCAACTGTGGCTAAACAAACCCTCTCAATTACTAAAATACAGTAAAAAGAAAATACCAAAGAGAAAATAATGTGAGAGACACTGGAATGAACCACAGGTTGTCAAAGAAAAACTGAATCACCAGAGCTGTTTCTAACAATGAAGTTTGTTTCCAAAGACATGGGGGAAAGATTGGGAAAACAATGAATAACTTCTGGTAATGTTGATATAAGGCCATGTGGACAGCATGCCATGGTTGAAACACGGAGATCAGCATGCAGGGTCATCAGAAGCTGCTCTAATCTATGTAGCCCTGAACTGCACTGTTGTACAGGTGGGTTAGAACAGCTCACTGTTCATAGCAAAATGTTGTGGTGTTCAGCAGTAGAAAGGTGAGGAGGATGTTCCTTGAAGAGAATAAGAAGCAGTTTATGTCCTGAAAGGAATATCTTCCAAGAGAAAGTTCTCAGATGACTACAGCTACACAATTTAAGCAATATTTAAGGAGACATATAACAATAGTCTGTAAAGGTTACAAGGTTGCAAACATGAACAGAGGATAAGAATTTGATATAAAAGTCCCAAGGATGTCAATCTGTACTTTGAAATTAAACAAGGGGAAATTAATCTAAGTAACTGCATAATCATGCTCTGTGATAGATTATGGATTCTTTTTAATTAAATGTGCTAGAAGGGCAAAGAATTAGTTTGATTAATTTTCTAGTTTGGGTGAGGAAGTTAGAAAATCTTGAGTTGAAAATGACCTGTGTTATAGCTTGCCATGATGTAAACTTAAAAATTTTAGCTATTTCTAGACTTCTAAAAAGTTAACAAAAGTGACCTGCATTATTCATAATTACTGAAATTTTGCACCTTTTCTTAAGATTAATTGGAAATGAGAAAACATCTCAAAAATGCATTTTCTTTCCATGATTTCATAAAAGTTTTGCACTGTTATTCCTGGTGAATTATGACCCATATCCCTAGTAACACTTTTGTATTCTTTTCTGTTTTGATATGTGATTCAATATGCCTGACTCTGATCTTCCAGCTCCCATTGTTTTCCCCTTGATCAGTGTTGTATGTCGTATTCATTCTGCTTTTGGTTTTCATCATTAAAATGACATTTTTCATCTTCTGCTTCACTGCACTGTTGGGGACTTACCACTTCTTTTACTTGCCCTTTCTGTTCTTTATCATGGCAAATGAAATAATTAATCAAATCAAAATTCCTGCCATAGTTACCTACAAATCCTGCATATGAAATTTGATTTGGAAAAGTGAGGTTTTGTGGCAACATGGAGACACCTTGGCATTCTTATAATGCCTAAGAGAAAACTGAGCATTTTCCCATTCTCATGTCCTTGGGAAAAGGTACTTCATGGCAAATTTTCAGCCACCGAAGTGGAGGGGTCCGTGGCACTTTGGCTGAAGATCTGTTGCTTTACTTTCTGGAGACACTTGTAATTAAATGAACATAAGAGTAGAGTTTATCAAACCACATCTACTTGAATGAAAAAAGGGAAATCAGGTCTTCTGAGAAGGCTCTTTTGGGTGCTGTTTTCTGTCAGAAATGTCCTACAAGGATCAATCTCCTAAAATCTCAGTAAGTCTGTACAAACCTGTTGTCTGATGGCACAGCAGAACTCTGTTGGCTGTTTTCAATATCTCCAATGACATACTCCAAAAAATCATCACAAATTTTTCTGGATTACTTCCTTCTGGTGTGAAAACTGAAGGCAAGCCAAAAATTAAGACACTACCACAAAGAAAATTTGACTATATTGTGAAAACACCTATCATCATTCTGTCCTTATCTCTCCCTGTGGTTGTCTCAATTAAACCCCAAATCCCAGAAATAAATCCTTTATTATATTATTTCAAAGTTATTTTTTTTAAATTGAATTAAACCATAGTGTATCTGTAAATCTGAGAAAATTTTGGTGAATTATTGAAACTTTTTCTCAGTTTCATAGGAAATTAGCAAACTTACCGTCAGTTGTTCTAATTAAGGAGAAATTTAAATCAGCACATTAAAGCAGAAGAATTTTTATAGCCATTTTGATTGATTCAGTTGAAGTTCATTACAGGGTAATATATTGTTCTGTAACAGAATTCATTACAGAAAAATGTTGCAAGGTTATGGGCTACTTTACAAAAAACTCTGTACTAATTGGTTGAAAAGGCTTGGTTTAATCTATGTATTAGTGCACATAAATGGAGAAAAAGAGTTAAGTGAAGCATAGAAGCAGACTTTGAAACTGCAGTAGTATGAAAGAATATATTAGAACAGGATATTAAATAATCAGATATAATATATAGAATAAATTTAATTTTTTGTAATTGCCAAAATAGCACTTTAGGTCAGATAATGAGCAATATTATGAAAGGATTAGTCTGACACTGTATTCCAGTTTATAAATGACACAATTTAATGTTTCATAGCTTACATATTTTCTTAGGTGAGATAACAGTTAATTTTCACCTCTTCCATACAAATACGTGTATTCATTGACCAGAGAAATGAATGTCTTCCCTTAGGGATTGTTTAAATTTTATATACCTGAATGAGTCAATAGGGTTGTTGTTTTTTTTTTTTTTTTTCGCATCTGTTTTCTGTCTTGGTGTTTCAAAGGGGAAATAAGAGCTCTTCTGGATCTCCAAGTCAATTTTCTTCAGGTCACATTCTGCCATAAGTATCTCTTGGCCTTTGGAAACCTCATTGTAAGTGTTTATTATTGACTTAATGGAATTATTTGCAGCCTGCCCTACCTCTCACACTCACTGTGAGTAAGTTTGGGAGCACAAAATCCCAAGGCATGTGACAGTTTTATACTGAAAAGAGCACCACTTTGGAGCTATCTCGTGCCTTGCTTGTGTGATATTATTTGTGACCATTGTTCTCCATGGTGCTGCAACAGACCCCGGAGGAACTGCAGGGACTTGATGCCTGATTTTCCAAAGAGCACAGCAAGTACTTGCACACATCAGTAATGGACAAATTTTTATGTTATACATGAAGGAAATGGAGAACAATGGGAGTTATTCATGCCAAGTGCATTGAATCTGTGGCCCCATGATTGAAGATACTTATATGGGAAATTAAAAGTTCTGTAGTCCTGGTTTATAGCCAGTTGCCAGGTAACTGCTTTCAGAGAATCAGCAGAAAAAGTATATTTTCTTGATATCTATTGAGTAGATCATTATATTTTAGCTTTACAAGATGCTAGTATATATTTCCACTGATTACTACCACATACTACACAAAGCAAGGTCTTCCCCCATACATGAGATGTCAAGAGTCAGTATTTTAAGTATAGGATATGTGAACATGACTTAAAATAATTATTAAATATTTATTGCTGTATTCTACCTCTCACCAAGCAGGAATACTGAAGCTGGGAAGAAAATTCACAGAATTTCCCTTTCTCTCCTTTTTGTTTTTCTCTTCCATTTGTTTTGCTCTCTCCCTTTTCCTCCTGTCCCAGTTGTACACTCCATAATGGTGCAATTGTGAGAAACAGAAAAATTGCTGGAGGAAATGCAGAAGTAAACGTAAAAATACATCTTCTCGGACTCAGGAGCAAAAGCTACAGATTTTCCAGACTTGCCTTAGGCTTCAGATTTTCCAGACTTTTCTTAAGCTTCAGAAAAATCACTGCTAGAAATACCAAGCTACATATGAAGAAAGGGCAACTGTGGAATACAACAATCCTAAAGGCATAAATGATTGTGTCAAGTATGTGAGTAGTAGAGGAGGAGCTTGCATCACTGTTTTTTGAGTAATTTTCTGTTTTCATTCAGAATGCAGAACCCCGTCTAATGAACTCATGATTGTGGATAATTTTTTTTTTCTTACTTACTTTCAACAGCTGATAAGAAGTCATCCTCCCACACCCAGAAGCCATAGGCTGTGAACCAGTTTACTCTGGAGCTTACAGAGAAAGAGACTTCTTTAGAAATCAATCCAGTTCAGGAGCTTTAGCCATTAACTTTTGCTGGACTGATGCCCCTCAGAGCAATTCCATGTTCTATTGAATGAAGGGAAAAACAACCCCAAAATATATCCACTGGTGTCTTTTATTAAGTTATGCAAAATACAGTATTAATTATGACACTGCATGCATTTTAGACAATATAAATGCAAGCCTACAGAAAATGTGACAAAGAAACCCTCAATTACTCTTGAGGTAGTATACAAGGAAAAATAGGAAAGCAGAAACACAGTGGATTAAAAGAACAAAATATTAGTATCACTTTGTGCATACATTAGTCACTCATAAATACATTTGTATGAAATAACTTAAGATACAATTCCATTCTTGTTAAAAAATATACTTCTTCAAATTCACCATTCTTGTTTGTTTTGATTTCACATGACATTTTATGGTATTTTATTGGGTGGGTTTATTTCTTTTTTGTCACTGTCATCATGATTTTACCCTTTTCCTCCAAGAATTTAGGCACAGATGGCCTCATGCACAAAAATAAATAAGAAACCTGCTTGAAGGGAAAAGAATTCTGCTCAAATAGCTTAGGATAGTCTAATAAATACGTTTTTGTTTATAAAAATATTTCAGGTTTATAAAAGAGGGGAGGGGACAGTCTCCCATGTGGGAAGGATGTCAAGTGAAAAGTGCTGTATAACGTTTTTGAAGAGATTTTGTTTTAAACATATAGTACCGTTATGAATATATATTTTATAATAATCCTGTTTCTCAGAACCTTATTGTTCACTAGAAGTATCAAATGCTCTTTTCTGCCTTTTGTTTGCTGTCTTATTGCCGTTTGGGGAGATGCCTAGTTCAGAAGGGTTCCGTATAACTGTGCTTTTGTAAGGCTGTCCTTCCGACTCAGACCAGTGCTCCCAGTCCGCTGGAACTGTGGCTGTTTGCTGTGAACACTCGAATGGCTTCCTTGATCCATGGAAGACTGGTGGATTTCTGGAGCCTCCACTGAACTCTGATTGAGTGACTCTGCTGAGCTGTTGGGGCTCACGTCCACGTATTCTCTTTTCAATACTGGGCTATTTTCGATGTTTTTGCTACTGCATAACTGGACAGTGATCCGTTCATTTTTTTGGTCTCTTGATTCTTTTGTTTTGTAAGTGGGCAATTTGTCCTGTTTACAGCTTGTGCTGATGTCAATGTTCAGGCCACTGTCTGTTCTCAGGAAGCAAGAATCCACAAGTCTGCTTTGGCAGATGTCATCTCCCTCTGAGCAGCTGTCTGCTTTGTAACTAGCATAGATGGGGCTTGTTCGACTGTCCCCCTTCTTGATGGGGCTGCTGTAGTACTGCTCTGAGAAACTGCAGGGCGACAGCCTGCCAGCGTTCCTGTAGGAGTACGCTCCAATGTCCTCCACGCTCAACTGCCTCCATCGCCCTGGCAAGTCTTCTTCTGAAAGGTGGGTGCTCCTGCACTCATTTCTCATTTTCTGGTTTGCCAAAGCCTGCTGTGGTGTTATGGCTGAGAAATGAAAAGGTTCGTTTGCATATGGAGGCAGAGTCCTGGTAAAAGTGGGTGAGTTCTCGTTGTCGTCAGCGAGCTCCATGTGCTGTGCGGGCTTGGGCTTGGCAAACCTGGGGCTGCCCTGATGCTCGTAACCTGCGGGTGACTTCCTTTCAAACAGCTCGTCCCGGTTGCTCATGTAGATCGCTTGCTGGGAGGCTGTCAGAGTGTTGGCTTGGGCGTTCTCCTTCTCCTCAGATGTGACGCTGAAGCTGGAGTAGGAGCTGGAGGTTGGCAGAGAGGTAATGTACTCTGGGAAGGCTTCGTGGGAGAAGCTGGAATGGAAACCGTCTTCTTCCACAGTGCTGTCCGTGGAGTTTTGGGACCGCAGGAACCCCACATCTTTTACTTGTGTGTCCACACTCTGCCGCCTCTCCCTCCTCCTCTCCTCGGGGCAGTAAAGGGCCGTGTCACTGCAGTAGATGTCGGACTTGTACTGGGGTCTTTGTCCGACTTTTCCAGCAGAGTCCTGAAAATTGAGATCCCTCGTAGATGGGCTTGACAAGTGTGAGGACAAGCTGTGTGGGTCTGGTTTTTCCAGTACTTTGGCAATGACGCAAGTGGGTATGGTGTCAGCATAAGAAGTGTGGCACAAGGGGACAGAAAGGCTGCACCCGTGCTTTTCCAGGTGGATGCTGACTCTTTCCTGAAAGTCTGTTGGCAACTGCAACATAAAGAGATGGCAAGGAGAAAAGGGTACGTATCAATAGAGGTGTCAGATGAGTGCTGTTTATGACATTACATAGCTCACCATACCTGGTTCTTTGTGACGGCCACAATTTTTGTGCATTTCTGGAAACAAATGTAATCAAATGAATTTTGTTTGTTTACTTAACATTTGTACATCTTCATCTGCTTCCGCTCACGGTTAACACCGTGAAACTGAAATGTTTCCTTCCAAATTAATTCAGGTTGGATAAGAATGATCATAGAATTGCTCAGGTCAGAAGAGGCTTCTACACTCATCAAATCCAGCCATTAACCCAGCACTTCCAGGTTTATTTTACTGATGTAAATAAAGTATGTAGTAAACAACAATCTTAAAAAGGCAGGTAGGGAATTAGAGTCTACAGCAACACTTTCCAGACCGTGTGCTTGGGTGTGATTGCAGTTGGAGTGTGAGTGTGCAGAGGTCTCTTCAGGGGTGAGGAAGCATGAAGAGATCATATCTATTTTGTTCTTCTTTTGTCTTTCCTCAAGCTCATTGTGCCTACAACCCCATGTCAAATTGGCTCCTGCCCTCCAGCATCACCTTTGATAAATAATGCTGTTTGAAGATGCAGAGAAGCTGACTGACACTTATAGAAGTGGTGCTGGCTGCTGTGACAGGATTATTCCTGTGCTGGGAAGAAGCAGATCAAGCTGGCTTCCTTGCCCCTGCAGTTGGACACTGCTTGTCAGATCAACCATCCACATAAGCCTCAACATGTCCTAACACACTGGCAAAAAAAAGCATTAAGACCTGAATTGTGACTCCTGTGACAGAATTAATCAGTAAGTCTGTTGTGTATCAGAAATCCTATAGGGTTTTTTTTTCTTTAGAAAGTCAGGACCAGGGCTGTGGATGGTGGTTTCACCTGCCATTCTGTCATGTGGACCAGAAAAGAGAGAGAGATGACATTCCTTGGTGAATCTTGCTCAGGTATCACCAAGCACGCTTTCCTGTCAAATTTTATCTGCCTTACTCACTTGAGATCTCTAACAATGATCAGAAAGCAATATGAGAGAGGTCTCTCTCCCTATTTCTTGCTGGAAATCAGAATTCATGTTTGGAATAAGTTTTGAGTTTGTGATTGCATTAGCTCCTTTGATATTCCTGTTGATTTGTGCCCCTTGGGAATGAATCCCTTCGGTTCTGGGCTAAACTGTGATTTACTTAGCACTTTCTTTTTATAACTAGAAATCTAGTTCCTCTTTACAAAATAATCAGTGGTTAACATTGTGACCTTAGCAATCTCACTTTCCCTTTAAATTTCTTCCTCAGGAGGATAGAACTCTACAAATACTGGTAGTTTTGGACAAAGAAAGTTAAGGTGCCTGATCCTTTTCATGGCCTTATATATTATAAGATATGGAGATCCTCTTTTAATTTCATTGGGTATTTTTTAAGCTGTTTTAACCCCCAAACCTGACTGTGTTTCCAATACAGGCATATAGTGGAATGACATTCCTGTTATTTGTAGTAGGACAAGTGTTTTTTCAACCAATAGACCTTCCAGGATATTTTGGACAATTAACTCATATGTACTCCATTGGAAATAAATGATGCTGTCTGCTGGCAGACAGCAACATTAGTCATAGTAAGTACAGATGCAAAAAAGATTGAATAAACAGGTTGTAAAATAGGCCTGGTGTAAATCGCCTTAGAAATGAAGAAAAGAAATACAGTTAATTTAATGTGAAAATGCTGTATGGGGCAGCTCTTATTTTAATATCCTGCAGAACCCCTGTTTGATCTATTTTATACATGTTATTAAGATTATAAAATGTGTTAAAAAGAACATTAATTTGTGGGCACTGCACTGGAAACTGGAATTATTAAATGATACTGCTATCACATTGCTATATTTTACTACTGTTTAGGTTTCTGGATAACATAAAATAGTCCATCGGGCAATATTTGCACTTGTAAAAAAATTTATTGCCTGTAACAGCACCTTCACACTTGCTAAATTAATAAATGCTTGGACTAATGAGTGGAGACTGCTTATTTAACTGAGTATATGACAGTCTGGGAAATTGTGGAGAGATCTCACATTTGTGATAGTTCTCTGCAAATAAACAATTAAATGCTTTAAAGGTCCTAATTAGAACAGGTAGGGTGCTATCAAGTGTGAGTAATATAATGATAATTCCTTGACACAATTTGCTAAGGGAAGTCAGTTAACAGGAAAAAAATAACAGGACCAAGATAATGGTTAATTTGGAAGTTCTGTCTCTGTTCCATAAAATAATTGTCTGGTGGACAGGAAAATCTTGCTCCATCTTTATTTATCAGGGTTATTCAGTTCTCTTAAGCCTTCTACTCACTTAGAGATGATTTGTATGTTCCAAATTTAATTTTGCAATATTCCATTGCAGAATTGCACAAGAGAGGCCATTTGGGGGGATGCTGACCTGATGGGACTGAAGAAGGAAAGACTATTCTCTGTAACCTTCACTGAAGCAATATATGTGGGGAAGGTGCTATTGCTTTGTGCAGGGCCTGGATCCCTAAAGAACTGTCTTCTTTACTAAGATAATATTTGCCTCCTCTTTAAGGAGCCCATTCCTCAAGCCTCGTTTCCTTGGAAGCGAGGATTATTAATTAAAGTTTACACTTTATGATTGGAAATCAATTATTCGGTGCTCTGGTTTCTTTAGCAAAAGATATTTGTTCTGGCAGTCCATTTTAAAATTCGGGTTTGGACACTAGCTGGAATGGAAAATAGCTTCAGGAGGAAAATTGACCATATCAGAATCTCTGACGCCTGTGGCTTGTCATTTCCCTGCTCTCACCCCACTGCTCCTGCGCAGCATTTTGCATGCTGGAGTTCACAGCACAGCAGTGTTTTACATAACCTGTGCTTTACAGGCAATCAGTGCAGTGGATCCTATTATAGTGGCTAGGAAAGGTTTGGAGAAAGAAAGTGCCTTCAAGTTCCACCATGGGTTGTGATTTAGTCAGCACCTCCCTTGACAGCACAAACACCAGCAGGTGCACGAGGTCTCCCGTGGCTTAAAGGAGGAATAAAAGCCTTAAGGGCAAAAAAATTCTGGAATTGATACATGCAAAATGACCTGTTTTCCATACAATATTTATGTCATCGAGCAAGTTTGGCCACATTACCTCTGAAAGTTTATGTGCCCTGTCATAGTTCTTGCTGCACTGGAGAAGCTGAGCAGCTAAATTGCAGTCCTTCCTGTAGAGCTCCTGGAAAAAAACAAAAAATAACCTCTTTAAATCTTGCAAAGTGCTCGTGGCATTCAGCCTTTCTCCCGTGCCTGATCAATCTTTTCAAAATTCACTTTGGGGAGATTTGGAGCATACTTTAATTTCTAAACAAATTAAGATGCTTTGTTGTTTCTTGCACAACCTAGAGATATTTCCTCCTCTGCTCTGTGAGGGCTGATAAAATTACTAAGAATAAACTTTTGAGACCTGTTACAACAGAACAGTAATCTGCATTTCAGAAGATAGATACTTACCATTAAGAACTGAATTTTATATTGTTAACAGGCATGGTACTGTGAAGGCTAAAAACCATGATCTTTTAAGCAAAAAGAAAAATTTTAGTGAGTATTATCCAGGTGAGCACTAAAATACAACTTTAGAAAATGCTAAAATAACCTTATGAGACTCTGGGAGAAATTAATAACAGAAATATACATTGTGTTGGTTTTTTAAGAAGGGAGACTCTCTATCCTTTTCATATTTCTGGATGGTTCCTGGCTTCTTTAATATCTTGCAGAATGTAGCTATAGAAATATATTAAATCTCACTGCAAATATTTGATGCTGCAGAACATAATATTTTCACTGGTCAAGAAATTACCATGAGAATTCCACACAAGGAAGGAGAGAATTTAAGCAAGCTTCTTATACTATCTTGGTATTGAATGGTTCCCACAGCCTATTTAATGGGAAAATTCAGCACACAGATTTGCCCTTCACTTAAATTTAATTTAGCACACATGACTGTGTAACTGTATCCTTCAACTAGTATCTCTGGCTTCCTGAAGGTAGGAGTTGTATTTTGTTTTTCCTTTTCCTTATCTAGTTGCATTAAAGCAAAGGTTGGCTTCAGTAGCTGACTTTATAGGTGGGCAGAGATGAGATATACAAAGCATTAAAGTGCTACGGGCACTGGGCTGTGTTAATCTGTAAAAATTAGCATGTTTGTAGACAAAAGGAGTGGAATACTGTTATAATTTGGATTTTCTCTGATGCTAATGCCATAATTTTATTGCATGCCAGTTTTTATGGCTACATTAATCCTCTTCAAAACTCATAGAGAAATCTTCTGTGAAAAAGGAAGTTCCTCAGTTTTAAAGGAAAATTTTAAGGTATTCTGTAATAAGAGAAGCAACAAGATGTTCTTGTGAGTCTTTCAGTGGTGGGGATAGTTGTCCTGTGAACATTAGTTCATATTTTTGCACATTCAAGGACCTTTAGACACTTTTGTGATTTTTTTTCTCTGTCTTTGTGAGATTTTATACATGCCCCTTCTGCTTCAAATGTACTGTATTAATTTATTGGATCTTAAATTTATATTAGGACACACTATTTTCATTCCTGAAAAAGAACCCAGGATTTCAATTTAGAAGTAAAATCTGCTGCACATGCATGTGACTCTGATATGTTGCATATACATTAAACCCAATATATATTGCTGCACAATGTATGGAGCAGACAGGTACCCCGAGTCCCATATGGCATTTCCAGGCACACAAAAATGATATCTCTCCAGAACCTAATCCTTTCTTCAAAAGCTCTGTGCCTCTCTTTCTGCTCAGTGGTTGTCATGGAGAGCACAAAAAGCATTTCTGACACTTTATTTTTAGCAGCTTTAAAAATTACTACAGAAAAATTACATGTGAGCTGCATGTGCCACGTGTACTTTGTTCTCAACCTGGTGGGCCAAGCCATGCGACTTGTGACCTTCTCTCCTTTAATGTTTGCCTGAATGAAAACCAGCCGTATCTGTGGCAACTAGAACTATAATTAATGCCAGAAGTGTTTCCCACAGTTTAAAATATGTTTTTATATCGAAAACATAATTTTACATTTCTGTCAGAAGAGAGAGGGAAAATATAATTGAAGAAAGAAATATTGTTTAAATAAAAACATTTTCGCCATGTAGGATTCTTCAGTTTATCACTTCTGTACTTATTAGGTATAATATTAGTGGTTTGTTTTGTAGTCCTTTATTTTAAAATTTGGAATATAACCTTTACCCTTATTAGTGACACTACACATAGTCATAGATTATCCTGAGCTGGAAGGAAACCAAAAAGATCATCAAGTCCAACTCCCAGCCCTGCACAGCATCATCCCCAAGAGACACACCCTGTGCCTGGGAGCATTGTACAAACACTTCTTGAGCTCTGTCAGGCTTGAGGCTGTGACCACTGCCCTGGGGAGCTGTTCCAGAACCTTTTCCTGATATCCAACCTAAATCTCCCCTGACTTAATTTCATGCTATTTTCTCAAGACCTACAAGGACAGAACTTTGTCTGTGGACCAACCTCAAGTCTGAAGAAGTGGTACTGTTATTTGAGGCCTCTGGACCATATTCTAGTGCTCAGAGTAAAACTATGAGTACTGAAAACACTTCAAATGTGGCTCAAACCTGACTCCATGAAGTACTACAAATGCATGCATACTTAAAGAGAGATTTCTGCAACTTTCTTCCACCGCTATTTTAAATCAAAAATAACTCCACTGGTTTCAGATGAACTAGTCTGGAGATATACCTGTGCTTCCAAAACCTGGATGTAGCCCATTACTTTTACCACACTCCGTTACACATAGCTGTTAGAATGATGAAGTAACTCTTCTTTCAACTCAATTTCTGTAAAAGTTAGGGGTCAGATTGGGAACTCTTTATTTCAGTTGGAAAGCTGTTAATTGCACAGGCAGAGTTCACATCAACAGGCATTTTAATGAGATTAAATGCTCCCAGCTATGATTAAGAGTACATGTGAAATATGGGAAGATTGAACGTAAGATGCTGGAAAATAAGTGCTAACAGAAACACGTCTTCTATAGATTAATTTTTTATTAAATGTGGAAGGAATGGCACAATAATGAACTAAATGCCTGCAATATTCCTGTCTTTGCTGTCTTTGTAGGTTTGTCTCAGGAAGGATTTAATGAGCTTGTTGCCAGCTGCACTACTTTTGCCATTTTTCAGTAGTGTTTAATGAGATGGAGGGTGACAATTGCCAGAGATGTTCCCTGTTTTGTCCCACACAGAGACAAGTACATTTTTACACATGAACAACTGCTGGGGAAAGCCTGGCTCCTGCTCCCTGCAAGAGTGGTGCAAGTGACCAGGCTGGGTCAATCCTGCCTTCTGCTAGTAGAGCTGGCTTGTGCTGGGCTTTCGGTGAGCAAAGACCAAAAGATCAAAGAATTGCAGGAAATGCAGAGCTCTATTCTGTGCCTAAAATCCTTCTGATGAGTCCCCATTCCACACACCTGTCCCTACAACAGCTCTGACCATGTGCTCGCATCAATTTGCTGTACTGATGGCAAAATTAATGTGGGAATATTGCCATTTCTTAGACTATTTTTTCATCATTTTCAGGCTAGATGTAAGGAATGAAATGAAAAGTCTCACCACAACCTCATAGCATAAGGAGAGCTGGATTTACAAAATGATGGGAACAAACAAACATGAATTTTAACTGTTGAGGGGACAGGTTACACTTCATACAAATACTATTCTATAATTTCATAGGAAGTGCAAGAACTAATTTGTTTCTGAATATAATCTCAAAATGAATAATTAAATACTTACATTGTCTTCTGACAATTTATCTATCGTCACCTTGGCTTCTATTAAGTGATTATTGAGTGCAATTATTTCATGGCTCAAAGCCCGTTTTTCCTCTTCGTAATGTTGACCCTGCATAGAAAAAGGAGTGGTCAGTGTTTTTCAACTGTCAGAATATTTCAGATAAATGTCCACTGGTTGATGTCATTCTCAAATCCATAGAAAATCACAATAGACCAACATTTCTTTTTTCTTTCTTCTTGCCCCCCCTCTTATTTATTTTCTCCATTATTTTCCTTAGGAGATGAGGTAAAGTTCTTTAGAACTATGGAGGTGAGACTGAGCTCATGTTAGGAACCTTCACAGAAGGCTCCAGTTAGCCTGTGCAGAAGCATCTATTGGGCATCAATCAGTACATCCCTTCTTAGTCACAGGAAAGGGTCTCTAACATGGTAGGCACTGGAGCTGCTCTTTTACTACAATAATGTTTCACTTATGCTATTATTTCCCATGCTCATAAGGAAGGAAGAACAATATCTAAAAAGAAAAGCAGTTGTGTTTGAGCCAATTTCATTTTAGCTGTTGACTGTTCTGGCAGATTTAAAAGCCCTGATTAAGGTTGTTCATTTCTCAAGGTGAATGTTTACCTGATTGCAGGGTTAGCACTCATTAGCAGAACACAATCCGCTGTGGCATAGCAGGAAAACAGTCTGATTCAAATTTCTTTCTGCCCCCTAATTTAATCTTGTTACCAGTAGGATGTAACTCTTCATTAAAAATGCAAAGAGATCAGTGGAAATAATGAAATGCCAGTAGGTCCTTCCCACCTTTTGTTTAATTTTGATACGCAGTGCTTATTGTACTGCTTCTCATATCAAAAATCATTGTGTACCAGTCATTTATATCCCTGCCTCCAGCCTTACATTGGTGTTAAAAAGTATGGCATCTTCTGTGCACTCAGAGCTGCAACAAGAAGGTTTGAAAAGTATCTTGAGGGTATTTTAGAAAGGTACATTGCCAAAAGAGCAGATAGTGGGGTAAACCCTAATATACATCTATTTTGCTTAGTGGACCTAATCCAGCAACAAATTCACAGTCTCAGTGGTGCTGAGCAATAGGACAAGAGGCAACAGATGGAAATTGGAACATGGGAAGTTCTCCTGAATATGAGGAAGGAATTATGTACTGTGAAGGTGGCTGAGCAATGAGGCAGGGTGCCCATAGAGGCTGAGGAGATATTAAAAATCTCCCTGGACACATTTCTGAGTAAAATGCTCCAGAGTACCCTATTTGAGCAGGCAGATTGGACTAGATCTCCAAGTGGATGTAGTGGTGAAATGGTCCCTTCCAACCTCAACCATTCTGTGATTCTGTGAATGTGACTTCCTATTTTTAGTTGTGAAAGACTCAGATTTCCCAAATGCCATATTGCCAGGGTCACACAAAAATCTTCTATCAACACACGCTTGACATTGTCAGCTAATTGACAGCAAGGGGAATTGGGTGTTTTGAAGTCTGAATGAATATCAAGGTTAATTATCCAGCTGCAAAGCACCAGCTTGTATTAAAGGAGGGAGATTAAATTGGAAGTGGCAGCTCTCATGCTAAGCTGCTATTTAAAGAAAAACACCTTCTCAAATGGTCTAAGCAAACCCACAGCTTGCTTTAAACTGAGCAGATATGATTGAAGTGTCTTTGTGAAGGTCTGGACTGGCCTATTTTAGTGTCAGTTTTCTGTGGACAGTCTGTTCCCTGCTGTTGCCAGCCCTCTGTCCTGACATTTCGGGTCTGGAGGCTGGCTCAGGCTTGACACCTCTCACCTCCTTGTTCCCATTGATCAGGCACTCCTGCCTAGGGACTTCTCATGGAAGGCCAAAGTGAAGCTTTGAGAGCTTGCAAGGCTCCAACCTTAGTGATTTTAACCAGACACAGGACTATGTTTTTTAATTAGGCAGATCAACGTGATTTTATAGGAGACCCTTAACTCTCATTGATTTTATAGTGAACTAAACAACCAGGCACTTTGTAAACTTCCTGGCCATCTGTGCACCTCTAAAGTCAGTCTCCTTTGAGACTGTGACTGAAGATTACATTTTCAGAGGTATTTAACTGTGTAATGAAGTAGACATGTGACTACCTAAGTACCTGCAAAAAGTATGTCCCCTCAGTTTTCGAAGTAATTTCATGCTTTTGAAGGATTCAGGTCCACTGAGTACAGACATAATCTTCCGAATAGCCATTTGTATGGAAGATTTTATCAGTCCTTCTACGACAAGTTGTCATACCAGGGCAGCTGATTTGTAGAACTCTGTTGCTCTAAGTAGCTCTGATCTTAGTAACTGTTGCTCTTGCCTAGCCAAATTGAACTTTACTCATTCTATTTTGCAGTTCAGGAGAGAATATCTGATCGAGGATTTATAGTTTTCAAGAGAGAACCTAATAAGGCAGCAGATTCAGGCATTGGAAGCACTACTTTCCACTGCATTTGAGTAATGCTGAACCTGGCTGAATTTTGACTTCATTTTATTTCATTTATGATAACATTTGGATGATGTTTCCCAGACTTTGTATCTGCTCAAGTGTGACTTAAAAAGATATTCTATATTTATTGAACTGTAAAACTCATCTCAGTTCAAATTTATACTATACAGGTCAGCAGGTGGACACCAAAGTAATAAACACCTCAGTAGTGCCGTGGAGAAGAGGGAATAAGAAAGAAAGGCCAGTCCCAATCTTCTCCACCATTATTAGTTCATTTCTTTCTCTTGAAATCAATATCATTAACAAGAGCAAAGAGCCTGTTTTAATGTGACAAAATGAGGTAGCCTAAAGGTGGGCAGGACACTGAAATCCTTTGGCATATTGGCCACACACTGTGTGTCCATCTTTGGAAGTTCAGCTCTTCAGCCAGATGTTTTTATGGTGCAGTTGTGGCAACAAGAGGACAAAGGCTTAATCCTGACACCACCTATGGGAGAGCAGAGCAGCTGGAAGGACAGTATGGTAGTGTTGGATCACTGCATTAGATCACTGCATTGCTGGTCACTGGGGGCTGCACCTTTGAGCTCTCCACTTGCAGTCAAGCAATCATTTTCAGCATCAGATTGTCAGTGAGGCATGAAAGGAGGATGGGAATCATATTACCAATGCTATGACAATAAGTTACAAATATAAATGCTTATTTTACTTGTAACCACTTTTGGTAGATCCCTCTATTTCTGGAAGCTTGTAGAAGCTTGGTCCTCCTACTCTACCACAAGGCTGGTGACCCCTCCTCCCTACTTTTGGCACTGCTTTCTGCTCTGCAGGTGCTAATACCCTGTCTCTCAAAGCTGAATTAAATCAGTGGTGTTATTGATATACCTCAGCTGGGCTGAGGTTTCCTGAAGTCCACACCAAAATGCCAGAGCCACAGACTGCAGTGGCATGAGTGGCTGGTGGATCCTTGTTCAGAAATCTTTGTTGAGTCAGCTCTGTGCATCTGCCCCCCTCATCCCTTGACACAGAGCCAGCACACAAAAACACAGCTCTGTAGAGTCTGACTAACACAAGACAACTACAGTCATGTGCCCACATCTGACTCAGATCAAATTTGTTCTGCTGGGTGAATCCAGCAGTCACAGCACCTAGGCTGAGGGCACCTTGCTCCTATCCTGGATTTACCATGACCCTCAGTGCATCCTTATCAGATCTGAGGAAGGGACTGAATATCTGTTCTTCCCAAAGGAACCATATTATGTAATAAAATATATAATCTCTGTCTGGAACCTTAGGCCTTTTTTATCATTTGCATCTATCATAGTGAAAACATTCCTCATATATTTATAGATCCATAAAAATATAAGTTGATGTTTTCAAAAGTGTTTGGTGCCATCTAGTCCCTACATCTGAAATCTGTGATATAAATGGGGTGAAAAGAGTTTTGTTAGGTTGGTTCAGCATGAAATAATTAATAGATAAGTGTATTTTTTAAAGTAATGAAAGTTGGATGAAAAGATCTGCCTATCTTGCATATTAGTGGATCCATAAAGGTTACTACTCTAGTCCTTCAGCAGCAATGGGCAGGCTAAAAGTTCTTTCTCTGGTGATGAGTCTCCCTTCATTGCTTTCCAGCAGCTGGAGGGTGTCCTACCATAAAGCAGTGCCAGCCTATTAGTCAAGGCTTGGCTGCTTCCTGTGGTCTCTGCTGTCTTGAGGGAGCTCTGATGTGTACAGACCTCTGGAAAGCAGCCTCAGATTTGTAAATGGGAAGTGCTGGTCTGTGGAAATGTCAGACTTTTCAAACATGGCAAAGTAAATCTTAATGTTCCTGTAAGGAACGTTTTTGTGGATGCAATTTCAATGCTACAGTGGCAATAATGTAATGGTAGTACTGACCAGCGGGGTATTAGTGGCCAGCAGTATTCCCTTGGAAATACTTTTAATAAGTAATGCCCAAATGACAGACAGAAAGAGAGGGAGAGACATTTTCTGTTACAAATACCACCAGAGTGATACTAGTATCCCATCCTGGATGCCTTGATAGAGATTAACTACAGGGTTTTTGGATGAGGAATACAGGCAGAAATTTTTTCCCATTTTTCTCTACTGTTCTACTTGTCCAGGAGGAACACTTTCACAGGAGACATTACCCACCTTTATGGACCACTGTAACACTTTTAACTCAGTACTTTTCTCCTAGATCAGAAGTCGCAATCTTTTCACTGCTTATGCTTTAAGGTATCTGCTGGGAAAATGCAGGGGGTTGACTGTTCTGTGGATTGTAGTCAGCAAAGAAGTGCTGACTGTACAAGTGGGGATATTCTTTCAAAACAAACTCTGTATGTTTTATGGTGATATTTTACAACCGCATTGAAATCATCTTACGAAGGACAAAACTGGGCAGCTGAAGATGACAAACTGGGAGGAGTGGTTGGTAGAGCAATGGGTGGTGCTGCCCTCCACAGGGACCTCACAGGCTGGAGAAATGGCCTGGCAGGAGCTTCACAAATTTCAAAAAGGAGAGGTACAAAATCCTGCACCTGGGGAAGAACAACCCCTTGCACCAATGCATGCTTGGGGCCACCCAGCAAATCCTGCAGCTTTTAGGAAAAGGATTGGGAGGTCCTGGTGGATACCAAGTTGAACACAAG